TATACTGTTGAGGTCAAGGTTCTCTGTGAAATTGTCACATTTCAAATGAAAAAAAAATACCGGTAGACAACCTTCAACATAATAATTATCCCTTCAATATACACGTGATGTAATACTTGTAGTCATTTTTATAAAACAGAAACAGGTATTAGTATTTTTCACATAATTAGCACTTGATGATGTGTATGTCATTGTGTATTTTGCATAACTTTTCAACTCCCAATTTTTTTTTGTTCAAGATAATATAACTATTGGTCATTTTTGTTACAGTATTTATAATAAAAGATAACAATATTTTACTCATCTCTGACATCTGGAAATACATATAAAACATGCTTATAACAAAGAACTACAAATGCCAGGGACAGACAATTTTGCTTTGTTTTAACCATAATTTTTTTTTATATATCTGTTAGTTAAATTAGTTTTATATTTTGAAGACGGAGAATGAAAATCACTTCATTATGAGGTTCAGTTCATTATTCCTCTCGCAGACTGAATTGTCTAGTAATGCCAGGCTTTTTCTTCACATCTTAGCCATCCGGATTAAAAGTTTGGACTTATGTTGTTCTTTCATCATGGAAATACTGCATGGATGAAGCATTTTGTTGTATATAGATATGTAAAAATCATTGAAATCCTCAAGATCCAAGCCTGTGCAAAAATTGAACAACTGATTATTTTTTGGTACCATTTCATGGTATATTTTAGAAGTTCTTTGAATAGCACAGAAATTTGGGTCTTTGAAGTGAAATCAGCAAAAACATGTACTTTCGTCTCCAATCTCCCACGCAGAGTTGTCGTTCGTTCCTCTCTCAGACACTCTTCTTTGGAATGTATGAGCCGATGCAAGATAGTGCCTCTTTTCATCAGAAAGTATTTTCAAATAATCATGACCATTGTTCTCTGGTGCCTGTTAAATTAATTAAGAAAGTAATCAGTAATTCATCTTGCACACAATCCACCCACAGAATATTTAAAATATTTGCTAAAAGATAGTTTATATGGTAAGTAAACAAACTTTTACAGATATATACAATTGCAATTGGTGTATATATATTTTATTTAAGATTTAGTCTGTTATTTCAAACATAAATTTGAATATTAATAGAAATATGTACATATACATATATATATATTTATGTATTGCCTTATTAACAGTTGCAGATGACTCTTGGTCAAATTCATGCTGTCCATCAGTAGCTGTTGGGTGTTTATCAGCCTTTGATGCGGTTTCTACTAAAATAAAAAAAAAGTTGAGCATTAAACTCATTCCCCGCAGTCTGTGAAGTATATCTTTTAATAATCACTCCTTAAATAATAATAACTGTTTTCAATGATATCTGAAAAATTGTTAAATCAGTCTTTTTGCCAAATAAACATATTAGTTTACCTGTCCTTTCTGGAAAACAAAATGAGGTTGCTGTTACTGGCTTATAAGATCTTGTATATTTATTAGGAGACCTTCTACTAAATGTTCCCTACCTATATGAATAAAAATAAAATATCATACAATCTACTTAGATATATATATATTAACCTTTTAAAGAAAATGGGGGTGGCCAACTTTTTCAAAGCCAAATTACTTTCACTTCCAATTTTTTCCTTTAATTCCTTGATATCACTATACTATGGTAAAAAAGTGGGGGGGGGGGCATCCTTTCAATGAGCATTTTCTGTAGTAAAGGTAATGTATGGTAATGCCCCCCTGGCCCCCTTGTTGCTACGTCCCTGTGTATCGTTGATGCCATAGAATACTATACAAACTAGACAGCGATTCCTTAAATGTAGTACATGAAACAGTTGTAAACATGTTTAAAACACATATGTATTCAAAATCCAGTCGATTTTTACCTTTATCGATTCTTACCTTGTGGAAAATAATGGAGGTCTGGTAACTTGTTCTTGTTCCCCGTTTTTCTAGCTGGATTTTGGATCTGGGCATTGTTCAGCTACTGAGCTAGGCCTCATCTTACAACTGTCTTACCATGCTTACATAGCTTTTGAACAGATGTTTTCGTGGGCAAAAATGACTTTTGTGTAACGTACGGTTGTAATCATCATCGACCCCATGGAGTAACATGCACATTTTAACATTTCCAGGGGATCCAGAGTTTTTTCATAACATGAATCAGTGTTTCAAAGTGGCAAAAAGAACTAAATGGATACCGAGTCTCTAATGACGCTTCGCCATGTTTTACCCCTGACCTCGCTTGACCTCAACATCCGCCGCAATGTATTATCGGAATGTACAAGTCGAGAATAAAAAAAGTTAATATAACATCAATATATAACATGCATTTTCCAAGACAACAAGGAACATCTATTACCTTGGTTATACATGTGCTCGTTTTATAATCAATTTGACGCTTTTTTCTGAAGCAATTGTTTGACGTGCGGATTGATGTCATAGATTGGCATTCATGACGTTATAGACGTAACGTTATTCGGCGTCGAAAGGGTTAACGGTCCCTGTGTTTCTACTGTTAAAATGGAATTGTACTAAAGATCCGGTTTGTCTATAGAGTTCAGTGTATTGCCAATGAAGCAAACTAAATTAGGAGGCGCTTGCAAAAAAGCAGATATAACCTTCATAAACCGTCTTCTGATTACGTAAGCACCAGTCGTATTGAGAGTCATCAATTGCTGGTGAAGAGGTGTTAACTTAGGCATGTACTCGACACTACTGGCATTTAAGCAGTTACATTTCTTTTTACGTGCCATCGACATGGGACCTTGCGGTTGATTGGGTCTAATATGAAAGATCAGTCTCCAAGTCCCGCAGTAGGATTCCAACTTGCAACGAAAGGATAATTTACTCCGCTTATATAGAGGAAAAACTTTAACCACTGCACAAATACAAACGCTATGTGTATATGTATTATATTGAAAACATACTTGTAATTTCGGCTGAAGGTTTCGTTGAAAACCTCAATGATTGGAGAAATTTTGTGAAGTGGGTCATACCCAATTTCATCAGGTTCTGCTGCTGTTGTGTTGTCATTGCAATGAATAAACTGCAACATGGCTTGAAATCGATTTCTAGCCATGATTTGGGAAAAATTTGGAGCTTCCATTGTCCACGCACGTGTGTTACTCTCCCAGTAAGATTCATATGTTGGTTTCTTCACTACTCCCATGCTCAACACAATGCCCAAAAAAGCCAACATCTCATCTCGGGCTACGGGATACCAATCACGGAACCGTGAATGTGGACCTAAAATCATGGGGGACTGCTTCTTCTTGATATCTCCTAATCTGCATAACGGTTTGTCTCCCTTACAAGAATATCGACAATGTCGTGTTGATCATGCTGGAGAAACTTCGTGAAAAACTCCAAAGTTGACATACCTGGGTCAAAATTGACGGGACCTGTTTCTTCTTGGAAATCAGGGCCAGGCATAATAAAAGAGCTAGGATCCACTACATTAAACCACGGACCTCGAAATGTAGTAAATTCTTCATTATCATCATCATCGGAATCGAGCACGTCCGAATCTATGTCAGAAGTTATGTTCGAATGGTAAGCAATTCTTCGTTTATTTCAGCACTAGCGTACTCACTCCTAACCTGACGTCACAATTCAACGTCAACGTAACGGAATGATGTCATATGAAGACCAGTACATATACAAAAATAAAGACCTACACTTGTTTCAAAATTTAGATAAGACTGTGTTTAATTACACAAATGATAAATGGCAAATGAAAGAAAAAGTAAATAATTTTTTGGAAAACGACAGTTTTGTCGGTTTGGCGTTGACACAGTAAACGACATTTTTGTCGCTTTGGCGTCGAAAGGGTTAACTCTATCTTTTGACTTTACGTAATCACCATATTAGCCTGCTCCCCTGGCTCATCTTTGCCAAGGCAGGAGAGCCAAGTGGATTACATTCGATGCTGTCCTTTGCTTGGTCAAAACAATTCGCGCTAAAGTGTGGGTTTTTGAGCCGTTGCCGTTAACCACGGAAATAAATATCGACGTCACGTTACGTCGATGGCGGAGAGAAATACGAAGTCACAATGAATTTGTACGCCGGAAACGCAGCTAAATTCGACGTCATAATAGACTCAGATTCAGGGCATTTTCGCCCTAAATTCAGTGTAGTCTACCTGGCCCTAGTAGACGCAGAGTATACGAAGCAAAATAGGGACAGGGAACCAGGTTATCACTATATAGACTATACATACAAAGAGAGAAGGGGAACCAGCGTCACCCCGAATTTACACAGGGTCGATCTCAGAAATATTTCGCCAAGTAATCCGAAATTAGCATCAAAAAGATGCTTGAATTTCTGATTGACAATATCTGTGTGGTTTTCGGAGACCAGGTCTTCCAACAACCTATTGCAAATCCCATGGGTACTAATTGCGCTCCGGTATTAGCAGACCCATTTTTGTATTCATATGAAGCAGAATTTGTGCAAAATCTTAATATGTGTGGAAAGAAAAAAACACTTGTTGTGGCCTTTGACTCGACATTTAGATATATCGACGACGCCTTGTCAATTAACAAAAATCTTAAGGTTAACGCAATTTTTAACGGAAGTGCATATAGAGAATATTTACCAGCTACGATAACACCCGAGAGAGTTTAGCCTGACATAATAATCACTCTCGGATGTTATCGTAACAGGTAACACTTCCATATACCATATAACGGCTTTCTCCATATCCTACTGCCTCCTGGCAGGTTGTAGAAGTGGCACACAGTCACTGGACAAGAGGGACTGGACTCTAGTGGCTAGCGGATTCAAATGTGGTAAAGAAGGCGGATAGCCCGGGAAGGCTGCAAGAGCTTGTATAGGACCTTAGGAAGTGAACTGAATTGAAAAAGTGAGAGATTGTCGAAGAAAATTTCAGAGAAAAATTAAAATCTGTTTACTCATTATATGCCCCTTCTCTAACATAATTTCACATATATAGATTTGTAAGGATTTTTTCCCCTACGTTTCATTTACAGGAAAGTCATTTTGGGTAAGAAATCATTTATGTGTGTTTTATACAGATATTATTTTAGGTATTGTCAAAACAGTTTCCAACCGGAAAAGGTTGATCTTAACACATCTGGAATACTAATTATGGTTCCAACGCTACCACTTGTATGATTTGTTCGTATAAAAACAACATCTCCTTGGTTTATCTGAACAACAACAACTCCTGTAGTTGTTCTGTCATTATTTACATCATAAGCGCTGGTATACATTGTTCCAACTGTACTGGAGTTCACTACAAGTTCAGTTCGAATGTAATCATGATTATCTACAATTATTGTCCAAGTGAACACATAGACACCAGAGTCAGGTGAAGTAAATACTCCTGTGTGCTTATTATAATGATTTCCAACGTTAGTCACCAGTGAATGAAAAATTAGTGTGTGACCAGCACCAACAGTACCTTCGTTTGCGCTCATGTATGCTGAAAATGCCACTCCATTCTGCGGTTCGGGCACTGAAAAGAAGAATATATAAAGATTTTTACATACCATTTTCAATTCATCACCTACATACGGAGTTAACATAATTATCTCAGTTGATTTGATACGCAAGGCATGCTTAACGTATGAACAATTTCTAAAATTAAATTGTTGACAAACAACTTGATGAAACAAGAATATCAGCAGTCTCGTTCAAAGTCATCATTTCGATGCAATGACCTTGTCAGCGAATACAATTGTATTATCATGAGTCAAACGCTGACTTATTGAAATGTGGAAAATTGCCTTGAGTAGTGATTTGCCTTTATAAGGCTTTCACTGAAAGTGGGAATATTAATCAGGCACGTAGAAACATCACTTCTATTATTGAAAATGTAATTGAAAGGCTGATTGCCCCCTTTTCTACTACAGTAAAGCGATACATGTATCAGGTAAATGTACCATTGTGGCCCCTCCCCCGAAAAAGGATTTTCGAGTTTCGGCAATATCCTTTTTTAGCTTGTCAACTTTTTCAAATAAAAATTCCGTGGCTGCGCGTCTCCCCCTTTCAAAAACGATGCTACGTTACTGTTAATTTGGGTCTGTCTGTTACATTTTAGTTTTCACGCGATATCTGGAGAAGCCTTCAAACATTTCTACTGATATCTAACACACAACTCCTTAAACATGATTTTCAAGAAACTATTGCAGTGAAATATTATACCACAACTCCGTATGGCATACAGAATACTTCTTTTCGCCCTTTCATGGTAACTGCGGTAATTCTCTTTTGCAGGGCAAATTTATAACGTTTAAAGTTTTTTTTATGATAGATTAATATTTACATTTCCAATAAATCTCACCTATGATACCTTACAAAATAAAATACAGTTCATTTTCTCACGAACTACCACGAATAAGCATGAATATCTTCATTTATACGTCATAACACCGCACTTGACGTAAAAAAAATATAGTGCAAACAGTTTTGATTTAAAAATGACAGTTAAATGGCGTAAATTTATGGCAACTTATCAGAAAAATAATGTAAATATAAGAAATGAATTTTATTTTTGTAGATTCATGAGTTATATGAACTACAACGCTTCACACCGGCATATTCATCATGAAGCGCTAACGCGCTTTATGAAACATACCGGCGTGAAGCGTCGTAGTTCATAACCTCACGAATCTTCAAAAATTAAAATTCATTTCTTAAATAAATGACATTTTTTAAACTACTGCTTTTTAACGTCATATTTCACCAAAATATATCATTTTGCCCTGCAAAAGAGTAGTACAACACTGTGAAAGATTGCATCGATTTTGATGTCATACAATGTAGGTAAGAAAAATTACACATTTTCTGTGCGCAAACTTTTAGTTTCGGGCGATATTTCAATTGTTTTTGTAATGTAAATTTAACATACCGGTAATTCCCTAAGGATCTAACATATTGTTTGATTGTCCTCTCCCGACCGACTTACTGGTATTAAAAATGGACCGACTCAAAACTATTTTTTTTACATACTAGAACACTGTCAAGATATATGGGGAAATCCCTACGTACCTACCGACACAGTAATTCTACCCGACGTTGGGAGAGGGCAAGCAAACATATTTAAATAGCTCTGATGGATGCTTCTCCGATATTTTGTGTGGAGTGTAAAAATAATGCACACAAATAGCGGGTTTTTCTTCAAATCAAGTCGCCCGCTTAGCGCAGTGGTTAGAGCGAAAGCTCTAGGAGTTGGTTCTTGAGTCGCCGGTTCGAGTCCCAATTTGGAACGTGGAGACCGGTCCTTCGGATGAGTCCTTATAAACCGTGGTCCCGTTTCGCAGGAGGAGCTGGCACGAAAAAGATCCCTCCCTGCTCAATGGCCCTGAGTGCCGAGTATAAAACAAAATCTCCAGCTCTCCACCGGCAAGTGGCGGCGTCTCCATTGGAAAATTCTCGAGAGGGAAAAAGACGTTAAACAGTATACAATCAATCTTTGTTTTTGTGTAGTACATGTACATGGGTTTAAGTAACTACATGTATGTGTACTGTTTACTAGTAATCAACACATATATGATTGAAGATTAAAAAAAAAAAAAACGAAATTATTTACCTTTTTTTGTTGTTAAATGCAACAATACCTGATAATAGGCGCTTTTTCCTAGACAGGTTAAAATGAACATCTCTTTTGTTGATTACCGAATTCGTGTCCCAGCCTTTATCGGTGCCGTTTAAAACTCCCTTGGAAGCTTGTCTTCCATGACTTTTCTCCTGTTGAAATGGAAATTCAGCTTGATTTAACGGTTCATTTTTATTCAATATAAGTTCTTCCAAGTCAGCAATTTTCTTCTGATCATCTCGAATTCTTTCCTCGTGAATCTTGAGTTTCCTTTCCAGGGTTTTAATGTACGCATTTTGTTCTTGTTGAACCAGTTTTATCTCCGATAGAGACTTCCTTAATTCTTGAATCATTTTCCCACATTTATCCATATGCGATATGGGGACAAAGCCTCTGATAACCTATATAGCCCTGCAGAGCCATATATAATTAAACCACAAAAACAGTACTTGTGATCATAACAAGTAACTTTTTGAAAATAAGGTTAATCTTAATTTACAAATACATGTTGTAGAGACATTAAGATAAGAAACAAATCGAAACGATAAATATAATCTGTGAAAAATGTATTTTATTTAAGAATGTAATAAATATATCATAGCCCTCGGGCCTTCGGCCCTCTGGCTGATAATTCAGGGACAAAGCCTCTGTAGAGCCATATATAATCAAGAGAAGTACAAAATGGTACATTGTAGAGATTAAGATAAGCGATAAATATAATCTGTGAAAAATATTTGTTTATATATCAGGCAATTCAGGGGTGTTCATATCTGGACGGAGAAAAAGGAATGAACTGATTCATCGTCCTACATTTCTGGACTCCTAAAGTCCCGACCTACAGATAGGATGCTTTAGTTAGTGTTTAACAACATGTTTGTATTACCTTGTTTTCTGTCAATATCCAATCTCTTCTGCATTTAAATCACGCGCATTTTAAATGTACAGTAATCCAGTCATTTTAAAAAAAATCAAAATGGAAACTAATTGCAACAGTTTCAAAACTTCGTTATTTACGGGAAAATTAAAATATTGAGGTCATAAATTAGATTACAAATAACAGTTTTCGAGAAATGAGATTTATTTGACAAAATAGTATATCATGTTATTTTTTATGTTTTTAACACGAATAGAATACTATTACAATACTTGCTAATAAAACAATTTTAATAAATCATTGATTCTGATTCACAATCTCAACTCTCATCGCCAGACAAATCTGAAGAGCAAGCATTTGAACAATTAATTGACTGCACACTCAACATCGTTTTTTTCTACAACTGCACCGACGATTGTCGCAGCTTGTTTTGCATTAGCAGGGCATCATTTTGATGAGAGTTGCAGAAGCTGGAGCTTTGCTAGTTTTGTTTGGATACAAGCTTCCTAATGACTACGTATCACTCCCATTTCGTTTCAGGTAAATTTGTCCCTACCAACCAATAATGCGCTTGATGAAATGCTCTCATTATATGGAAAGATGCAGCATCAGATGTTGGTGGTAAATTTTGACTCTGAACTGCAGATCTAGCTGCAAGTTTTGTCCCAAATTTCCTGTTATCACAGAATAGGAAGGCCTCCGCAAAGACAAGAGACAGCTTCAGACCCTGAATTAAGAACTTGTTCTTTACTCGATGTAATACACGAGAAAATTCTATGATTTTCTTTGTAATGATCAGAAACTCTCAGTTTCTTAAATGAAGCAGCTTTTCCTATGCCGACCATCCTGAAGTAGTGTCGCATCCAGTAAATGCATGTATGGCAGGAAGCAAAAGAGCTGCATCATAACTAATGATATTTCTTATCTTCCTTGTATCCCATACTTTGCACTTCAGATCCCTTATGAAATCGTCTCTGAAATACATATCATGAAGTCCTGAGTCATAAAAATGAGTCAGGAGAATCAATATACATGTATTAGTGTCTAATCCAATGACTATGACGTCTTTTATAGAAAATAATGAGATTGCTGTCTGGACTATTTTAAGGTCGGCATCACCTTCTGCACACAAGACATCACATCCAGATTTCTCCAGCATTTCCCCAAGAAGTTTAAGAAATCGTTAGTTTTGTGTGTTTATGAAGAATACATCTTTGCTAAACTGGAATAGAGACTGTAAATCAAAGAAAACTTCTGTGGTATGTACTGAGTATAGACCCTTTTCCAATGACATATTTTGTCTAGGAGTTATTCCCCCTTAGCCGCCATATTGTAGGTCAACATTCCCAGATCCCTTCATTATTCAACCAAGTTCAGTTTGTTTTACTGGTTACTGAGGTAAAGATAATGCTATTTTTCTTATGAATATACGTTTGTAAAAGCCTCTATTAATTCATGATTATAAGATTGTGTATATTTTCTCCCATATATTTCTTGCATGCATGTTTAAACTTGGTTGCTTTAAGAGGTAAATTCACTACTTTGCCCTACAAGATGGCAGCTAAGGGGAATAACTCCTAGGCAAAATATGTCACAGGAAAAGGGTCTATTCCTTTAGATCTTCTCAGATGCGCCATGTCTTTGGTACTTGGTTAGAAAGTGTTTCCATCAAAAAAGACAATGCAAGCTTTATTATACTCCGTTTTCAGTGGTTTAAATAAGCACTTGTCAAGAAGCTGAAGCTCGCTGGTTGTATGAGGGGGAAGGCAGAGAATATCAATGTCGTTTTTATTGGCCAGCTCCAGTATTTCCAAGCTTATATGAGAAGAGTGATCATCCATAATCAGCAGGACCAGTCGATGCGTAGGAAGATATTTTAAGAGATGATTTTTAAACCAGTGTTAAAAAGCTCTCTGTTGATGAATGATGACTTACTGGTAGCAAATAGTGTGCCAGGAGGGGTATTGAAAACTTAACCCTTGTTTAAGCGCTGTTCCTAAAAAATAATCATAAGAGAGATGTACAATCCTGATGCACTGGCGCAGATAACTAAAGTGACATGTTCTCCTCGATCTCCACTTATATCCTGCTTTAGCTTTGATTTTACTGAAAGGATGTTAATTTTCAAAGTTACTGCCATGGCGTATGCGGTTCTACAGATGTCATCAATTGTCAACCCTAATCCACAGTTAGCCATTTCTAAAATGTGACTCGCAAGTTGATTTTCCTGGTCTGCAGAAAACACTGTTGTTTTGGAAGCTGGGTCGTCAGCTTGTCTCTTTCCCTTTACTCTTCTCTCTAAGGTCGACTTCGGAACGCCGTACTGTTCAGCTGCTCGACGCATGCTGAGTTTCTTTATCTTGGCGGCTTCAAAGGCTTTCTTCATAGAATCTGTATTTCCCTTGTCATAGATTTTCATTTTTTTTTCGTGTCGCCATACCTAAAATGTTGAGTAACATATGTATCAATGAAACGGGATATTTTATAATGATACAATATTTTTTTTTTTTACAAATATTAAAGCGAATTTCTTTATATACATTTTAATATACATAAAATATTATTACATTCTCACCAAAGACGATGCAAACATAAAATATTTTTCAATAAATCACAATTATAGCAAGCACGCTTGTAGTGAATTTATTTTTTAAAAAAAAATCGTCCGCCCCTGCACTTTGTTATCAGCGTGTTTTACTGTAAATAGACAAAAACGCTTATAACGAATTAACGATGTCCCACATACCCCGATCTATTTATGAAATACAGTATCTCTATTGTCATGCTTACTGGTATAGATTATTGTACAGTTGGTTAGATAACTCAGTTTGTGGTTTATAAAATAAGAGAAATGCTGTTTAAAACACATATGCCTTTCAGTTTTTATTTTGACAAAAATTAACTGAGTTTTAGATATGAAGATGGAAACAAAAGCAAGAAATCAGATATATGTCGAATAGATTGTTTTCCATTGAGGTAATTTAAGAGTTATTCCCTATGGCCGCCATGTTGTAGGGCAACATTCAGAGATTCAACCAAGTTTACTGAGGTAAAGTTAACACTGTCTTTCTTATGAAAATACGTTTGTTAAATCTTCTATTAATTCATAATCTTGAGATTGTAAAAATTTTCCCCCATATATTTATGGCATGCCTGTTTAAAATTGGTCTCTCAAAGAAGAAAATTCACTACTTTTTCCTACAAGATGACGGCTAAGGGGAATAACTCCAAGGCAAAATACGTCAAAGGAAAACCATCTATTGTAACGTCATATTGAATAGTTTACTCTGAATTTAAAACAATTACCAAAACAAAATTTGATTTAGTTTTAATAATATGTGGATACAATTGCTTGTATATATCTTTAAAGTATAATATTCTAGATAACCACCATTTGCTGGTGAAGACCTATGAAGTTTGCCCTATACTAGGCACTTAGGGCTATTGAGCAGGGAGGGATCTCTTTCGTGCCAGCACCAACTACGACATGAAACCTCAGTTTACACTATTGTATCCGAAAGACTGGTCTTCACTTTTCACGATGGTAATAGAACCTACATATGTACGACGTAAGGATCGACTCCTTACTTCTCGACTCTAGAATAAACGCTCTAACCACTGTGCACAGCGGGCAACAACTGATCAACTAATCATCAGTCTTGTGATTGTCAAAACAGAGAGATCTCAGGGTTTTGAAACATATGTTGCGGGTTCTTCTGATGACAGGTACCTGAAAAACCAACGTCCAGTGATGATGATCGATGTCTTAACAATGTTTTTACCCAGGTTCTTTCTGAAATATATTAATTGTTCTGGACCAAATCTAACTTTCCTTAAATAAAACAATTTGTAAGGTTTCAATAACTTATTATGACAATAAACATACAATAATACTGAACAAGAGGCCCACGGGCCTTATAGGTCACCTGAGTATCGTGTAACAACTTTCAAACAAATAACTTTGGTTCGTGATATAAACAAGAGGCCATGAAATTTAAAATTCATAATTTTGAAAGAGGCTCCATTGCTTATCATAATTATAAACTTAGCATGCTTACTCTATTAATTAATACCCAGAGGTTGATCACAGTAACAAAGAGAAAATGCATTTCCACTTTATAACCAGTTTTGCACCTCACCCCAAAGGAACCACGGACCATAGTGCCATATATTTCAAAATTTTGCAAATTTTATCATAAAATGTTTCATTAATACCAAAGAGCAGATTTCAAAGCATTAATTTATTTTCAGACTATGTAACAACCCTCCCTACCCCGACCCAGGGGGGGGGGGGCATAAAAAATAACCATTTTGCTACATGCACCTTTCTTCATCATAAATATATATACTTGGATCATTGGCATAAAACCCAGGAGCAAAGAAAAAGATTTTCAAAGAATTAATGTATTTTCACTATATAATCTATATAGCCTCTCCCTAGCACTAGAACCCCTGATCCTGGGGCCATAAAATTCACAATTTTGGAAGA